TATATATGGAAGGGGAATCAAGAATGTGGGATATTGGTGGAGATCTCTTCGACTCATTTCAAGGTGCTGACAGTTTAGATGTTTCTGTCATTTCTCTTGACGAACCCACGATGGAGGCCGTTGTGTTTGAGGAGGATGAAGGAGTAGAAGCCATAGAACGAATTTTTTGATGTTTCAACTTGAAAACTTTATTTTAAGATACACTTTTGGTTGTAATTTTTATATTTTTGCAATGTTAGTAACTTAGTATTTTGTAGTCATGGAACTAGTTGCAACTTGAACTTTATTCTCTTGTAAATTTTTATATGTTTGCACTGTTAGACTTGTTAGTAGCTTAGTATTTTGTGTTTGAGGATTACATCTTAGTTTGTTGTTTGAATTTTATAAATTTATCTATATATAATAATAATATTAAAAAATCTAGTTGTGTCGTCGTGTACTATTTTTTTGGGTTTTGTCGTGTCCGTGTCCGTGTCCGTGTCGTCGTGTCCGTGTCCGTGCTTCATAGTTTTTTATATGCATTTATCCACCCTCTTGTTCCCATTTTAAATTAGCAGTTAATTACAATTATAAAATAACATGTAAATCTCATTTGAGATTGTTTTCAATAATTGGCTATTGTTTTATGCTCAAAACATGTTCATTAAATTACTAATATATGTTACTTTCCTTTTCATGAAAACTAGAGCCAATGATACTTGTATTTACAGTTATGAGTATTGACTCAGTGGAAAGCAATTAATTCCATATTATGCAAATGTTTTAAGTATTCCAACGAACTCATGTGACTAAATGTATGATGTAGAGCATATAGAATAAGACTTTTAATTGATTTCATGATAACAGTGGGCAGCTTGTCTTAATATCAAATATAAGCTTATTTGGTGACAATCATTCATAATAATAGTTGAAAGTTGAATAGTAGGATTACATGTACATGATGTAAGACAACCTGCAATGACAATAATACTACACCATTTAACATTATTACTATGGCTGCTTTATTCTAAAGTGTATCATCATCTTATTATTTTAGTTATTCTAATGTCAAAGAAGTAGCCAAGAATGATGGAATCCCAATGATTAAGAAGATTCAGCAGAATGTCCTGATGCCAAGAGTCATGCTTGCTGAGATCAACAAATTCGTGCTATACTAACCTCTAAAATTTTAGGCAATGGCTTATTTTTCATATATAGGAGCATATTTGACAAATTTTGTGCGTATAACTATCATCTTCAGGTCTCATACTCATCAATATTAACGTATACAGACGCATAGGTTGTACTAATACTACTATACCTGGTAGTGAAGCAGCTGAAATTTGACCGAACGCCAACTTCTATTCTTGCTTGTAAATTTGAATCTAGTGATGCTGCATTATATCTTAATTTCATTCAGACTGTATGTGATATAAATTCTTTCATGATTTATGTTTCCAAGTCATGTGAAGAAGCTCTGTGACGTGTCCACGCCCAAGTTAGAGCTTGCTTATTATTCTACCTCTAAAAGTCATCTTTTGCTTTTCTAACTCTTGCTTTGATGGGATTTCTTTTTATGAACCTAAAAGTATGATTTCATGTCAAAATGAGATTGTTAATACTGGTGACAGTGTGCTTCACATTTGTGTTTTCAGCGCATCCTTACGTTTTACAAAATGAGATTGTTAATACTGGTGACAGTGTGCTTCACATTTGTGTTTTCAGCGCATCCTTACGTTTTACTATCTAATCTATCAACATTATGAATTTTTCAGCGCATCCTTACGTTTTACTATCTAATCTATCAACATTATGAATTTTATGGAATTTTTGTGTTTGTAGTTATTAGGTGATGGGCCGCGGCACTTTCTCGATGATGAATATAGTACTGAAATACTCATTTGTTAGTCTTGATGGCTTATGTTAATTGTGATGTGAAATTCTTTGCAATAATAAAAAAAATTCTGAGATTGCAGTAATCTACTATAAGCATGAAATATTGTTCATAACTTTTATAGTATCGTATATCGTCAGTCTACAAGCTCAAAATTTGTTGTTTTTAATGCTATTTATTGCGCAATTTTGTTATATTCTTTGCCTTTCGTCTGCTGATCATGCACAAAATCCATCATGAATAGGATAATTGGAAAGAAGGGCTATTCTGCAATGCAATGATGGACCAATCTAATATCACTCGTCTCATATTGCAAAAAATATCTGGGTTTTTTCACTATTGTACCCCTTAGGTCTTTCATATTTTGAAATTAGTCAGTCAAATATTAAAACTGTTTCAAATTAAGCGCCCTAATTACTACTTTTATTCAATGAACTAATTTCTAAACGAACTAAGGTTTAACCCGATTAGCAATTTCAATGATTTTAGGCACTGATTTCAAATTTTAATGATTTAAGGTACCAAATATAAAAAATAAATACAATTTGAATGATTTGAGGGACTAACTTGGAAATGTGAAAGATATAAGGTAGTAATATTGAAAATAGCCAAATTTAGTGACCTAATATCAATTTGAATTTTAGGGAAAAGATTTGATGTACTAATATGCATGATTCATGTAACTGTAGAACCCAAAAGAAGCATTAGGATCATCGCCCCCCTGTTTCTCCTCTTTCTATTGATTATTAAGATTTTATAATACAAAAGTCAAAAAAATTTAAACTGAAGCGCTAAAAGGAAAATCTTTTATTTTGATCCTGAAGAAACAACAAAGTAACGTGCAATGCACATTCATAAGACATAACTTCATAAGCTTGGATTTACATCAACATCATCAAATATACTTTTAGGTATATTCTTGTGATAGTATTTGATTGATCAATCACCTTGTAGATGCAACCACTGTACTGTTGCCTAATTGATCCCTAAATATAATTCTATTGTTCAAACGTTGTGAATTTTTAGCTTATGTTCATATGTTGGCTATATTGTTTACATTCAATAAATTTATATCAAATCTTTTCCTAAATAAAATTATAATTTAAAATAATATTAAAAAATTTACCACGTGCAATCAATCCAACTAGTTTTAATAAAAATCCCAGTGGGACCCAAAAGCAAGAGTCTGGCACTATTAAAAGTAGTAATTAAGGTTATGAAAATCTTACTTTAAAATGTTAATGGAAGTCTTTTCCTACTGGGACTAGGTTCCTCGAATTCTACATAAAAGGGCTGGTTACCGCAGAGAGAAATTGAGAGAGGAGGCGAGTTAAGGAGTCGCCAAAGGATCCAGGTTTGTTTCCATTTTATTTTATTTTATTTATTTTATTTATGCAATCTGCGACCTTTTGATATATTGCGTTCTCCCAAAATTGCAGTGGGAAAATTTAATAGATTAATCAGATTTAAGTACAAGTTAAAAAAATATAGCACTCAGATTTAAGTACAAGTTAAAAAAAGAAAAAATTACACCGGGAGTCACCAGAGCTCCCGCTTTTTTTTTCGGAACGGCGACGCTGGATCCATTACAACTCGACGTTCGTTTTCCAAGCTCAACAACAGCAACAACAACGTCGATTCGACGTTCGTTTTCCAAGCTCGCGTGTGTATACCGACGCTCGTATTCTATGCTCGCGAGAGTTTCCAGCAGCAACCAAGATCTGCCTAAGGCCGTTATTTATAGGCCTCTAAGGCCAGCTCAAGAGCCACTAGCAATTAATGTGACTGTTACAATTCTCAATGGCAATTAAGATTGTAACATCAATACATTAAATTGCTCTAATTACTGTTGTAACTGCTGCATGCAGTAACTCCTGAATACGAGGTAATCAATGGAAGCATTGCTACGAAATGCGAGGGTCAGACGAACCTCGTTTGACAAACGAACGTCGTCAAACAAGTGAACCTCGTATGACAGACGAACCTCGTCGAACGAGCAAACATCGTCAAACAAGCGAACCTTGTATGACAGACGAACCTCATCGAACGGCGAACCTCGTCAAACATGCGAACCTTGTATGACAGACGAATCTCGTCGAACAAGCGAACCTCGTATGATAGACGAACCTCGTCGAACGAACGAACATCGTCAAACATACGAACCTCGTATGATAGATGAACCTCGTTGAACGAGCGAACCTTGTCAAACTACGAGAACGCTAGGGTCACCCTCGTGCGAATATGTAGCTCGTCCGCATGCTGCGAAGCAGCCTGCGAGGCAACCTCCTTGACGCCACCTCGCCTTGATGCCTCCGTACGAAGTGCAAAGTGTGCCTAACAAAGCGTCACTTAGTGCCTCAGCCCGATTAGCCCCGATCCTCGGCCCATTGGCCCACGGCCCATGGCTCACGGCCCATGGCCCACGACCCACGAGAACTTATAAGGGATTAATTCAAATAAAACACTTCTCGGCTTGTCATTGGCAAGCCTCGAACAAGGGACCTTTTGAAAGGATTCGGATCCTCTCCACTACAAAAAAAACAGTGGAGAGACCACTACATAATCACGGCCATTGATTATCTAATTAATGGTTGTGATTTTTTTTAGTGTAAATTAGGAATGAGTGCAATACACGGGGGTATGGTAAGTGTTAGATTTAGATTGTATCATAACCGCCTACCAAATAATCAACGATTGAGATTAAAAGCAGTGATCTCTCCACTACTTTTTTGTAGTGGAGAGGATCCAAATCCCTTTTGAAACACCAAAACATAAACTTTCCACTAGGGTACTAAGCATTTATGAAAAGTACTTATAGTTAATATATATATAGTTTGAAAACTCATTTTGGAAAGCAGTTTTGACCAAAAAATCTAACAGATCTAAACTTTGTAAAACTTTCTTTTAAATTCTAACAGAAATTCATTTTCTCAAAACATATTTTTTTCGTTCTTTCCTCCATGGTTTTTTATGCGTGATAGAGAGGATTAAGGGCCAATTAGTATTGTTTTTTGCTGCTTATTTTTCTAAGAAGCACTCAATTATGGTGTTTGGTGAACAAAATTTAGCATGCTTATTAAAACTGTTTCTGCTTTTAAAGGAGTGCTTTTTGAAGCAATTTAAGGATGCTTTTGAAAACATTCTACTCTTTCTTAGTTATATACCATATATACATTTTATCTTTTAACAATAATCATTAAGCTCAATTTTATCTTCTAAAAGCAAGTCATATAAGCAACCTATATAAGCTGTTGGAAATAGTTGTTTGGTAATCAAATATAAAAAACAGTAACAAAATGGCGAACGATGCATTCGGTATTTTCAATTGTAGTTCCATAGCTTCTGAAATGGATGTAAGTTTAAAACCAGTTTTCCAACAGAACAGAGTTAATAAGTAGCAGGCGAAAATCTCTCTTTGTGCACAATCCTCGGGAACTAATTCACAACTAAGATTGGTTGGAACTTAAGTTGGAAAAGAAGATCAAGAGACCAAAAAAATGTTAAGATCACTAGAAAGTGAAATAGTGTTTGGCAATGTGAGAGTGAATTTGAAAGTCTGAAAATCACTTGCTTACATAAGTATGAAAAATGAATCAACGTTGACATTGCCGTATAAATAGCAAAAATTTCCTTTTCTTATGTTTGGTTTATTTTTAAAAGTAAGAAATAAGATGAGATGTGATGAGTTGGTGGATAAAAATAATATTTTATTGATAAAAGTGTATATATTTCTTTTTGTTGGGGGTGAATTTTAAAGATGAAAATGGGTAAAAATAATATTTTAATAAAAAAATTACAAAGATTTCATTTTCTTAAATTTTAGAAAACCAACCAAACAGCCCCCTTAAGGCCCCCAAATCCAGTACCCCAATTCCATCCATCGATCGATCTAGGGTTTCCTTTTGGTCCTTGTAGCTGTTCTCTCCGCCCGATTCTTCTTCTCTATTTCGCTCTTTTGTCCGCCGAGGAGAAGAAGGGTTCGGATCCCTGCTCCCTGCTCAAATTCGACTAATTTATTATTGACTGTGAGTTTTCTTCTCGATCTATTTTTCAAATTTTTTTTTTGTTCATTAAGTTAGGGTTCTGTTCCTTTGATGTTTGATTGTTGTGCGGATGATGGCATGCTATTTGCATTTGGACCCAAAAGCGAGAGCCTAGTACTATTAAAAGTAGTAATTAAGGTTATGAAAATCCTAGTGGGACCCACAAGCGAGAGCCCAGTAATTAAGGTTATGAAAATCTTACTTAAAAAAAAAAAAAGTTAATGGAAGTCTTTTCCTACTGGGACTAGGTTCTTCGAATCTGCATAAAAGGGCCGGTTAGGGCAGAGAGAAATTGAGGGAGGAGGCGAGTTAAGGAGTCGCCAAAGGATCCAGGTTTGTTTTCATTTCATTTTATTTTTTTTCTCTTATTTTATTTATGCAATCTGCGACCTTTTGATATTTTGCGTTCTCCCCAAATTGCCGTGGGAAAATTTAATAGATCAATCACTGAGAAAACTGTAGGAACTAATTCACCTTCGCACTCTGGACCTAAAGGATTATGGTACCGAAACAGATGCCATGAAAATCAAAATTTGTATGCATACATATTTCTCCTATTTTTTATGAGAAAATACCCTGTACACGGCACATCATTGATGAGATTTGGTGGAATTTACATGCATGATCCACATGGCACGGTGGATGGATGACGCCCATATGCTTATTGAAATATTATCATCGACATAATGATGCATTTCTCTTGTATTATGTATCAACGTACTCTGTTATGTTAATGGTCTATACGGTAGTATTGTATTCTATTTTGCTCCAGTTGAGATATTGAAATTAAATCTTCCTTACCAGTTTTAAAAAGGGAAAATTGCTTCTAGCCCCCAATTTTCTTACAAGTATTCCGCCCCCAAGACTTTTTCAACACTCCCAAACCCCCCAAAAGTAAAGTCACAATTCTCTGAGCCCCAAAATACAAAACTCAAGAGTTTAAAACATGTGAAAACCATAATACACTTTCTCTCTCTCTCTTCATGATGTCACTGTGATGATTTGAAATGGGTTTTGAGAGAAAAAATTCTAGTTCCCTTCTCTCTCTCTTCATGATGTCACTGTGATGATTTGAAATGGGTTTTGAGAGAAAAAATTCTAGTTCCCTCCAATAATTTTCAACGGTGTTGACATAGGTAATGAAACTTTCCCGGCGTTCGTTTACAAGGTGAAAGAAAACTTTGATCTTGAAGACGGTGATGATGAGTTGTGATGGATTTAGCGTCGCCGTTCTGAAGAAAAAAGTTAGAGCTCTGGCGACCCCCAGTGTAATTTTTTTCTTTTTTAACTTATACTTAAACTTGAGTGCTATATTTTTTTTGTTATTTTGCATATTGTTATAATTTTTTTGGAATCGATGAGTTTAGATTAAAGTAGAGTCTGTAAATTTACATATTGTTGTTATTTCACTGTAGTAAATTTGTTGTTAAGGTTATGAGTTCGTTCTGAAAGAAGGTTACGTGTTGGTTTTAAAGGTTACGAGTTGGTTGTGAAGTTTACGAGTTGGTTGTCAAAGTTACGAGTTGGTTGTTAATGTTAGGAGTTAGTTGTGCAGATTACGAGTTGGAAAGAGTTGGTTTTGAAGGATAGTTAACAACAATCACAATCAGCTCATTGCCGAGGTTAACAACCAACTCATAGCCTTCACAATCAACTCATAACCTTCACATCCAACTCGTAACTCGTAAACTTCACAATGAACTCGTAATCTTCAAAATCAACACATAATTTTCCTTCATAACCAACTAATAAACTTAACAACAAACTCATTACAGTGAAATAACAACAATATATAAATTTATAGACTCTACTTTAATCTCAAGTCATCAATTTCAAAAAAAATTACAACATTAAAATCTAGCCTAATAGAGAAAAATGCGTGTTATTGCCTCTATAAATATGAGAGAGTTCTTGATTGCAAATCAATTTAGGGGTTTTGAATTATATTAGACTCTCTTGTGTTAGAACCCAACAATATACCGTCTTTTTTTTAGATGTGAAGGATGGAGAGTCGGAGAATGAGCCTCCAACCGCCTTTAATTCCCTAAAGAAGGATTGATTACAGAGTCACTTGCTACATCCCAACCCTAGGATACAGCCAACCATGGTTACAAAAAAATATGTACCCATAACTATCCCGACGCACGACCGTCCCATTATATGTACAGGCTAGTTAAGCAAGCAGCTCAAAAAACACAGGAAAAAAACAACTTGTAACCTTCACAACCAACTCCTTACCGAGTTCCACAACCAACGTGTAGCTTTCACAACCAACTCGTAACCATCACAATCAACTCGTAATCTTGACAACCAACTCGTAACCTTAACAACCAACTCTTAATCTTGACAACCAACTTATAACATTGACAACCAACTCGTAAACTTCACAACCAACACAACCAACTCTTAATCTTGACAACCAACTTATAACATTGACAACCAACTCGTAAACTTCACAACCAACTCCTAACCTTAACAACAAACTCATTAACAATAATATATAAATTTGTATACTCTAATATAATCTCAAGTCATCGATTTTAAAAAAATTATAACAATATGCAAATTAGCCCAAAAAATAGTACTCAGATTCAAGTACAAGTTAAAAAAGGGAAAATTACACTGGGAGTCGTCGGAGTTCCTGCCTTTTTCTTCGAAACAACGACGCTGAATCCATCGCAACTCGTCATCACAGTATTCAAGATTGTAGTTTTCTTCACCTCGTGAACGAACGTTGGGAAAGTTTCATCGCCAATGTTGACGCCGTTGGAAAATATTGGAGGGAATTAGAATTTTTTCCCCAAAAACCCATTTTAAATCATCACAATGACATCATGAAAAAGAGAGAGAAAGGGAGAGAAAGGGTATTATGGTCTTCACATGTTTTAAACTCTTTGGTTTTGTGTTTTGGGGACTCGGAAAATTGTGGATTTGCTTTTGGGGTTTTGGGAGTGTTGAAAAAGTGG